CTAACTTTGTCCCACTTTCTCACCAAGATTCATTTGGATTTAAGCAAAAGTCAAAACATGAAAGTTGTAGCCTATTGCAAAATATACAACTTTGATTCACAAAGTTTTCCCAAAAGAAGCTTGTAGCTCAAGTTACAATTTTTGGAACAAGGGTACCAAACCATTCTTAACTTAGAGAAAATTTGACCTATTTTAGGCAAGGTTTTTACCTAACTTCAAGACCATTTTTCACATACTTCCACTTGGAATTTCAATTTGCATTTCAAAGATGGATTGTAGTACATATTCCAAGCTTTCCAAAATGTCCAAGAACTCATCAAACAACCTCATGGTTAGGGAGAATCGAATTTTGCAATATGGGAAAAACTCACTTTGTTCATGACCAAATTACATGTCCATACACTTAGGCAATTTTGAACTCAGCTTGCATTTCTTGATTACAGGCCCTAAATCCCTTTTGCACTCATAAATTTAATGCAAACTCTTTGTGCCAAGACCATATTTTATGTGTTCAAGCATTACCTAAAGGATTAGTCCCAAATTAGAAAAAGCATAATGTCCATTTTTGCAAAAGTGAACTTTATGTCAAAATGCAAATCCAAGCAAGTACAGTTAAGATCTCTTTGGAACAAGTTTATGTGCTAATTACACTGATCAAGACTAAGTTTGCAGCACATTAGGGGGGCCTCTACCTGTCTAAAAACTCAAGTGGACTTTGCTTGCTTAAGTGTGAAGAAACATAGCATAACATCTACCAACTATCATTCCTGTAAACCAAGCCTTAAGAAAAGACTTTGTACACTTTCTAAACATCCATTATGAGCTAGAACACGAGCCAACCAAGTCCCAAACACTCTCATTCACAAAATCACCATTGAACTGCACAAAAACAGGGCCTGCTGCAGATTGAATCCCACAACTCATTTCCATCGTGCATTCTTGCTAAAACCACTTCAAACACCTTCCCTACCATCAATGCAAACTATCCAAAGCATTAGAAGTGGACTGTAACTCCTCTAATCAGTTTGGCCATTTTCATTTTCTTATTTTGCAGTTGAAGTTCCATAACACGATTCAGCTAGTTTCAAAGCAAAGTAAAGCTTGGAATAGCATCCCTGAACCTCAAGGAAGCTGTACCAATCATCACCTTGCACTGAAAGTACCTCAATCATCAGATACAACTTCAACTGAACAGGTAAGTTCATGAATTCGTATCTCTCTATCCAGGCATTGTTAGCTTTAGGTTTGTGAAGAAAATATGTCACATTCATAGCCCTGAACATGCCCATGTAGTTAGTTTTCATTTATGTTACGTGTGCCATGAGAATTTGATGTCTGAACATTGATAAAAAATTAGGTTAAGATTTGGGAATGGAGAAATTCTCTCTCATTTTTTAGAGTTAGATCAAGTTTTTGGTATGTATGGATTCGTTGTTTGATGCTGAACATTTTTGATGTTGTGAGTTTTCATTAAAAAGCCAGGAATCAAGATGTTTGAATCAGGTTACAAAACGCGCGTTTTTGGACAAAGAATAGCTGGAGGTTGAAGAAGCTCCACGTGGGCTGGGCCTGTTTGGTTATTTCTGTTTACACCACTTTTTTGCTTTCACACCCCCTAGGCCCATTTGGCTTATTTTTATGATTTTTTGACTTTTTCTTTTTTGTTCTGACTTATTTATTTTTTCTTATAATATTAAAAATATAAAAAATATTTTTCTCACCATTTTTGAATTTATTAGGCATTTATTTGGTTTCTTTTAGTTTTTGTACATAAATAAATATAAGCATACTTTTATTTAAAAAATACTAAAATAATGCAAACACATTTCATTTTCCATTTTTATTCTATTTTATCTTCTGAAAATATTTTATATAAAATATACTTTTTTTATAAATATTAAATATTATTATTTTTATACATATAATATATATTTAGTAAATAATAATAATACATATATATTTATTAGAATATTTAGGGCAAAAATACAAAATATATACATTTTTATTTTTATTAATATTTAACATTTAAAATACCTTTTTGACAAATATACTTCATTTTTATTTTATTTTTGTATATAAATAATAAATATTGTACATATTAAGTAAATAATACCTTTTATTTAATAAATTAGGGTTTTGCCCTAAACATGAAAATAATCAAATATTAATACTTTTTTTATTTTGTTTATTTGACATATAAAAAACACTTTTTTCATACATATAAAAACATTTTTTGCATCTTGCATATTTATTCTTATTTTATTTAATTATTGTACATTAATTAATTTGTATAATTCCCAAATTGATGTAATAGTCTAGGTTTAAATTCCTTGTCAAAAAACCCCATTTGAACATTTGTACCCCCCTTCCCATATATTGTGTTGTAATAACTTAGTAACTTTATTTTTCGCACTTTAACGCTTTCTAATTATACCATGTTAGAATTAGGGTTTGTATGCGAATCAAAAACAACAAAAATAGTTTGACCTAATTTCAAGATAAACAAGCATGAAAATGGACAACACTAATCACACTTGCACCCCTAGGGTATTCCACTTGTTGCCTTCAATAAATGGTCCATATTGCATGTTAAGTATCATTGGGCCAAAACAAAACAAAATCAAATGGTCATAGTCCCACGATGACGCTTTCGAAAGTTGCCTAAAAATGATCAAGTCCCTTAAAGGAAAAATTGCCCAAAGATACTTGGCACCATTGCAATTATGGTCTAAACGATGACCCGCGCCCGTCCCTTTCACATCCTAACACAAGATTGTCCACCAAATGCAATGGTGGAACAAAATTGTTAAAAGGGTTAAAAACATAGGAGAAATCTTTGAGAAATTTAGGAGTAGACAAACTCTTAGTTACTTAAATCAAACTTGCAAAACAAAACACTTGCCTATTTTCTAAACCACACATCACTACACTTTCAAAAACAAAAACAAATGAAAACCTTTTCAAAAGACATACACCTTTGTATACATCCCAACATGGATCATTACAAAGGTTGCCACCACATTGGCTTCTTTCCAAAACATTTTCAAACCCACACACACACAAAGCACCATTTCAAACAATTGAAAATCAAGGCAAGTTGATCTAAGCAAGTAACTAAGAGCCCATGGATAACCATGGATAGAAAGGGTGCTAATACCTTCCCTTTCTATAATCTACTCCCCGAACCCAAGAAAACATCTCAAAGGTTTTTGCTGTGCTTTTTAAACCTTTCCTTAGGATAAAATAAAAAGTCGGTGGTGACTCTTGCTCAACCGAAACATTTGCGAAAACAAACGCAAAACCATATCACAAGGATGATCTTTATGAAGACCCGGGTGTGTTCTACAAGAAAACTTCTGACAGGTGTGGTGAAAGTCTCAAGAAAGAGGAAAAACAAAGGAAGATCATTGCTGACTTAGAGAATGAGAGGAAGCAACTCTTAAGTCTATTTCTCATCCACAAAGTAAGGTAACACGCTTAAATTCCAACTTGATAACTTGATTGATTTCATAAATATGGTGAAAGAGGATGAAGATGCCAGCGTTCATTATTAATCTGATAATAAATTGAGAAGAATGTCATAAGAACAATTTTTTTACTTCTGAAAGAAAGAAAAAGACCAACATGTCCAAACACTTGTTACAACAATGATGAATCTTCAAATCAACCTCAATATACTTGGAGATGTCACTATTGTGGTGAGTTTGGTCATATAAAGCATTTTTGTTTCAAATTGTACGGAGATCACAAATCTTCAGTTCGTTCCAAGGCTAATAAAGTAAGCAAGAAGAGAAGTGTTAAAAATAAGGATATTAACCTTATATCTCATACTTCCTTGAGAGACTCAACAAGTGAAGACTGATACTTTGACAGTGGATGCTCTAGACATATGACAGGGGTCCAAACAAACAGTCATTTATTAGGGATGAAATCCAAACAAACAACCATTTATCAGGGATGAAATCCAAACAAACAATCATTTATCAGGGATAAAATCTAAAAGTCAAACAATGAATATGGATGAAATCCAAACAAACAATCATTTATCAGGGATGAAATCCAAACAAACAATCATTTATCAGGGATAAAATCTAAAAGTCAAACAATGTCCTCCAAAAGTAAAGTTAGGAACCACCTCCATGACTCCTTTGTTTCAGTTTCACAAACACAAAAAGCTAAGGGATAATGTTGTTCGTTTGGATCTTTTCCAACAACAATAAGCAAGGTGCCTTCAACCAAAGTTTTTGCAATTTGCTTTGCCTTCCATGCCCTATTCATACTTATACCTATAAAATAAGTACTCATAATCTCATAAACAATATTACAAATTTTGATTCCATCAGAAGATGTCATCCTAGCCGCCACAGTCTTAGCAATCCACTTGGAGTTAGTTGTACTATTATTCAAAACCCTACCATATATGTGAACACCAACCCATCTCTTCATTCTATACGCGTACTTATTCCCAACTTTACTAACAAGATCCAAAAACCCACATTTGCCCTTGCGAGCTACCCTCATTCTAACCTTGTCATTTTCACATACTGTATCTCTCTACCATTTAATATGACCATTTAATAATTTCCTCCTTAAATTCATTTAGTGATACAAACTCCAAACCCACTTTGAACTTGTAGTTCTTGTCCAACTCCTCCATCTTAAACCTATGATATTTTGGGCCTTTGTCTTGATTTGATGCATCATGATCACTACTACCAAGATCATCACTGGCATAATTTGTTTCCATATCTTTATTACCATCGTTAACACCACGGGATGAACCTGCGTTATTATCAACATTTTTTATTTTTGTCGGTGTAGTCCTGTGTTTCCTTGCTACATGCTTAACCCTTTTACCCTCAGATGGGTTTTCTACTAAATTAAATCCATCGAACCCAAGAGCCCTCTCATCCTCACTGTCATCAAATGATAAATCATTAACTTCAAAATCACTATCATCATTATCCTCATGTTCATCTTCTTCAACATCATTAAGATTATCATACATTAACATTAGCATCATCATCATCATCAACATTAACATTAACAACAATATCATCAACATTATCAACATCAAAATCATCAACATTAGCACAAACATTAGCACCATCGATATCATTAACATTATCAACATCAACATCATTTACATTACCAGCATCAACATTATCATCAACTAATCTATGCTCGACATATAAGTCCACACTACAATTTGATTGAACAACGTATTCATAAACCTCATTAGCATCACTATCACTGACCATTCTTTTATGCTTGCCCGATATAATGTTATACCACAATAACCAATAATTCGAGTACTCAAGATGATAAAGTTCTTTCACAATATCAGTAACTTCAAAGAAACTCCACTTATCAGGGTCACTGTATACTACATGTTCATACCTATCTAGGTAGTATACGACATTGTCCATAAAAAACTTTTCCCCATAATGATGTTCATAGAAAATGTCATATATGGAGCTAGCAATTATCTAGCTCGATCGCGAGTTTCACTTTGTCTACCACGGTCACGCCTGTAACACCCCGTTTTTGATTAAATGTTATTTAAGTTATTTTTTTTTCTTTCCGAAATTATCAAATTAAATCTATTTTAAGAAATATATTTATTTGATATCAATTAAAATGTTAATTCGGTTATTTGAAATAAAAATATTCATAATGATAAAATACTATTTTGAGTAATATTATTTTGGTGTGTATTTGGCTTCGTTTGATTTATCGGTATAATTTAGTTTTTATGGAATAAATATTAATTAAATGTAATATGGTTTTAATAGAATTATATGATATAATTTGAATTAAATAGATCGGGCCAAATTAGAATTTTAGAAAGTTAGGGGGAGGAAAGTAAGTAGTAGTAAAATTTGTTTTATAAGATAGAAAGTAGGATAGTTGGTAAGAAGAGAAATGGAAAGAAGAAAGAAAAGAAGAGAGAAAGAGGAGAAGAGAAGAAAGGAAGCTAGGTTTGGAGTTGCAACATCATCATCATCTTGTTTCAAGAAAACCCACACCAAGGTAAGGGGTTTGATTTTCTAATGCTTATAGTTAGGGTTTAATTTGATATATTTTGGATTTGGGGAAAAATTGATGTTAGGGTTCTTGAGTTTTATTGAGATAGAAATTAGAAGAGTTAATTAGGTGGTGTTGTTGTTGTTGAATTAGTATTAAGTTAATTGAAATTGGAATGAAACAAGAACTAGTAGCATATGCATTTAAATGAAGTTTAGAAACTAGAAGAACTAGTGGCATATGCAATTGAAATGGAGTTTTGGAACTAAAAACTAGCGGTTAGTAATTGAAATGATGATAAGCTTCTAAAACTAAGTACTAGCAGTAGAGTTTAGTTTAGATATAGTTTAGAAGAAATAAAAACTTGCAATATGTTTATTAATTAAGTTTAGTATAACTAAAAGATATAACGGTATACTATATTTCAATAGCAAATTAGCTTATGCAGTATGTCCATTTGATGAAGTAGGGAATTGTATGGCCATTTGATGAAGTTGGAAATTATGCAGTATTGGTATCAGAGTAAGAACAAGACGGTGGAAGACTAACGTAAAATATGCAGTATAATTAAGTTTATAAACTAAAGAAAAACTAACAGTAGGCATAATTGAAAGTAAATTTAGAAATTAATTAATTAATTTATGTTTTGTTTTTCTTTTCTTAATTTAATATATTAAATATTTATATTAATTAAATACAAATATGATATAAGTTAGGCGATTTAATTTGGAATTCGATTATATTCCGATTTCCCGATTTCGGCAATTTCGGTGACGGAGTAAGTTGCTCTGAATTTACCGAAAATTGACGTGCTAGCATAATTCGACGTGTAGATTAACGTAGTGAAGTTCGTTTTGCGAAATTTCGACTTTTTAAGAATCGACCCGATTTTAGTACGAAATGAAATAAATTGAGTTTAATCCCGAATTTAAGCGTTCGAGTTACATTCCGGTGACTCGATCGCGATGAGTAACATTGAGAGTAATGCCGGTTCATTGATGATGACTTTATGTTGAAATATACTTTCCGATTTGGAATTGTTTGATAGTTGATGGTTTATGTTTTGGTTGAGTAAGTAACTTGTTTGTATACATTTTACTTGACGTTGTGATTGTTAAATTATATGTATGCATGCATGTACAATAGTTGATGTTCCATTGGTTGAATTTGATGGTATGTGTATGTTAAGATTATTGTGAATCTTAATTGCATGCATTGGTTATATTGTACATTGCATGGCATGGTTGGTCTTGAAACAGAGACGGTGAAACTGTGGGTTCACATGATTTTATATACGGTGACCCTAGTGTGGGAATAGACGTAGTGACCTTGATCCGGAAGGGAAACATAGGTGGTGGAACATTGGGTCCACAATATCTAGACGGTGACCCTATTGTGGGAAAAGACGTAGTGACCTTGATCCGGAAGGGAAACATAGGTGGTGGAACCTTGGGTCCACGAGTCGGTACCGCATTCGCATACGTTGAGTCGTGTTGTGAGTCACATGCATAATTGTGCATGTTATGTATGCGTGTTGATGTGTTTGATTATGTGCCAATGTTGTTGTTGTTTGAATTATGGTTATGTGCCAAGGATGTGAGTATTCGGATAATCGGTTTACATGGTTAATGCGTTGGAAATGGATTCCTTGAGTAAGGATACTATAGGTGATAAAATGAACATGATCATTATGTATTGCTTTATTTATTGCCATTTCATTTACTTAAAATTACATGTTATATGATTATTGGAATTCTTACCCTTCTGTTGGAAAATGCTTTTGATGGCATTGTTCAGGTACCGAGGACGGTAGCGCGAGGCGCTAGTTAACGGATGCATTGGATTGCAATCTGCTTTATTTTGATTAGAGTCGAGTCGATGCTCTGGTAGTAACACATGGGGGGAATTTATTTAGTGTCGAACTCGATTATTTTGTATTTGGATCATGATGTGTATAATCCTTATTCGTGTATATGATGTTTTGTATATGTGAGACTTGATAACATATGCTTATGTGAATTATGATGGCTTGATGCCTTGAATTACGTTTTGATTCCTCCATAAATGGAGATGATGTGAAATTATGAAACTCCGTTGCGTTTGCACGAGAGAATGAAGTAAATATTTATTGTATGTTTGTTTTGTGTTGGAATGCTTATACTTTCAAACATACCCTGTCCGTTTTTCTTTAAAAACTTTGGAATGTGATGTGTGTTGTGGCATCCCTTCTGTGCAATTTTATTTCTCAGATTTTAATCTTTACCTTTAATTGGGGTATTTAGAAGGGGTGTTACAATAGTGGTATCAGAGCATAGTCGGTCAATTGTCAGGTCTTATTTTGTTAATCCCTTGTATTTGATTGTGTGGCTAACGCGATCAATACTTTGTGTTGTTAAGAAGATGACTGGTAGAAGGATTGATGATGCTTTAGCTGAGGCATTGAGGTTGCTTGTGGGGTCAATAAATCAGATGCCGCAAACGACTCAAGCGCCACATGATGGTACTGAAGATGCTTTCCGTGCTCTTGGGAAGTTCCAAAAGAACAACCCGCCTACTTTCAAGGGAGAGCATGCTCCGGTGGAAGCTCAAGAATGGTTAAAAGCAATTGAGAAAATCTTTCATGTGATGAATTGCACCGACGCTCAGAAAGTGCAATTCGGAACACACATGCTGATTAAAGAGGCCGAAGACTGGTGGATCAACGCTAGTCAGAGGTATGAGGAGGAGCATGTTGTGGTGACTTGAGAAATTTTCCGAGATGCATTCTTGGAGAATTATTTTTCCGGAGGATGTTCGTGGTAAAAAGGAAGTTGAATTCCTAGAATTGAAACAAGGTAGTGGTTCGGTAGCTGACTATGCGGCTAAATTTCAAGATTTGATTAAATACTGTCCTCACTACAATACTGTTAATGCTGAGAGGTCGAAGTGCCTTAAGTTTGTTAATGGTTTGAGGCCGGACATAAAGAAGGCGATTGGGTATCAGCAGATTACAAGATTCTCTGAGTTGGTTAATAAGAGTCGTATCTACGACGAAGACAGTCGGGATAGCACTGCTTATTACAAGAGCTTGAGTGAGAAAAGAGGTAAGGGACAGATGCGTCCTAAGCCTTATGATGGAAGAGGAAAGAGACCAATAAGTAGTGGAAAGAGTTCGAGTGGGGGAGTGACTTCTCCAATCAAATGTTTTAAAGGTGGTAAAGAGGGACATCGTGCTATGGAATGTCGCCAGGGGATAGTTAAGTGTTTCAAGTGTGACAGGGTGGGTCACAAAGCGGTGGATTGTAGAGTTGGTGGGAGTGTAACTTGCTTTAATTATGGTGAGCGAGGCCACATAAGTACCAAATGTCCAAAGCCAAAGAAGGAAGTTGGAAAAGTATTCGCTTTATCTGGAGCAGAGACTTCTGCTGAGGAACGTCTAATTAGAGGTACATGCTTTATCTCTAATGTGCCTTTGGTTGCTATTATTGATACGGGTGCGACACATTCGTTTGTTGCTTTAGATTGTGCCAAGAGATTGGGCCTTGTCTTGTCTACTTTGGATCGAAGTATGGAGGTAGATACACCTGCGATGGGTTCAGTTTCTACTTCAGTTGTTTGTTTGAAGTGTCCTTTGCGCATGTGCGGAAGAGATTTCGAAGTTGATCTCGTGTGTCTTCCTTTGCATCAGATAGATGTGATTCTGGGTATGGACTGGTTGAAAGCCAACCATGTCTATATCAACTGTTTTGCTAAGGTTGTTCTTTTTCTCGAGTCCGAGAAAGATGGTGTGGTTTTCTTGTCTACACAGCAAGTTGAGAAGAGTGTGAAGAATGAAGATGGGTTGTTTATGCTTATGGCGAGTATGGTTTTGGAAGATGGTAGAGTAAGAAAGGATTATCCTGTGGTATGCGAATTTCCTGAAGTGTTTCCTGAAGAGAGTACGGATTTACCTCCTGAGCGTGAGGTAGAGTTTTCCATCGACTTAATTCCTGGTACTAGTCCTGTTTCGATGGCTCCTTATAGGATGTCACCGTCGGAACTAGGGGAGTTGAAGAGTCAGCTGGAAGAGTTGCTTGACAAAAGGTTTATTCGTCCTAGTGTGAGCCCGTGGGGTGCTCCAGTTTTACTTGTGAAGAAGAAAGAAGGAACAATGAGACTTTGTGTGGATTATAGGCAGCTAAACAAAGTGACCATTAAGAACAAGTATCCTTTGCCAAGGATTGATGATTTAATGGATCAGCTGGTGGGTGCGTGTGTGTTTAGCAAGATTGACTTGAGGTCAGGCTATCATCAGATTCGCGTGAAAGCGGGTGATATTCAGAAAACTGCGTTCAGAACTCGTTATGGACACTATGAGTATTCGGTGATGCCTTTTGGTGTTACGAATGCACCTGGTGTGTTCATGGAGTATATGAACAGAATC